GAGCAACCCCCCTGTTGGGTTTCTTCTTGTGATATTAAACAACCAGCTACCTCATCCTGCAATAATTTGGCCTTTCCCTGATTGATGCAAAACTTCTCTTTTGTATCCTTTACTAAAGGCTACATAATTGTAGCATGCTTGACCACAAAGCAGAGTCCCCAGGTGGTGCAAACCGTTAATGCACTCAGCTGCTAACTGAATGGTTGGAGATTAGAGTCCACCCAGAAGAACCTCAGAAGAAAGGCCTGGAGATTGAGTTCTGAAAACCCAGCTATGGAAACCCTGTGGAGCACAGTGCTACTCTGACACACAGAGGGGTTGCCATGCATAGGAATTGACTTGGCAATCTACAGAGTTCTCTCTTTTTACTTTTCAGCCTTTCCCTCTGAATTTCTCTCTGAAAGTTGTCAGATGGAGCCAGACGGTCCCTGTGACTATCTCTCTGGGGTAAGTCTTCCCTCTGCATTTGTTATAGACCAGTGTGCCCTCTGGGTTAAATCTAGCCAAGCTTGAATACTGATGCAGCATCACAGGCTGACTTTCAAAGCAGGCATTTATCTTGATATAGATCCTACATGCAATATACAAAATCAAGTATGTCATCAAATAAACTTTTCACATAGAATATGCTATAAGAATCCTGCGACATTATATTTTATACTAGATTTAAAAATAAATGTGTACTTACCGTCTAATCACGCATTTTTTTTTTCTCACACCTCTATAGACCAAAGAAATACAGAAAAGAACAGTTTCTTTCTTTTCAGATGAGTATATTCAGACTCCTGGTGTGGGGCTGTAGGATTAGCACTGGACTGTAAACTATAAGGTCTGAAGTTCAAACCCACCAGCAGCTTCCTGGAAACCCTATACAGAGTCACTGAGTCAGAACCAACTTGACACCATTTAACAAAAATAACAACAACCTTATAACCAATTTGCCCACCAAAGGATGACTGAACAAGAAAGAAAGCTCCAGTGAGCTCACTCCTGGGCCACTGACTTCAGCCCCACCCCACATCATGAAGTTCCAAATCAAGTAACTCAAAGGTATGTTTTCTTCATGGTCTCCAGAGTTAGCAAAGGAAGGAAAAGGCATCAGCATGTTATAAGGAGGTATCATAGACTGAAAACATATGTCAACTTGGCAAGGCCATGGTTCCCAGTAGTGTGTAGTTGTCCTCTACTTTTTGATTTGACGTAATTATCTTTAAATTCTAACCTCTGTATATGAATGAGGCAGGCTTAGTGTAGGCTGTACATGAGGGCATGATTCAAGTCTCACCCTTAGTCAAGTTATGCCTACTTGTTGTGGTCTGAGCCAGCAGCTTATTAATTGGCACAACATTAAATGTCCTTACAACTATTCTTTAATGCCCATCCTCTTCCTTCTGGTACAAGATGGGCAAGGAATTATCATTCAACTTTGCAGAGAAAGAAATGGAGGATCAGTAATGACAAAAAGTCAATATTCATTAGCAAAAGACAACCGAACTGAAATAAGGAGTCTTGGTGGCACAGTGGTTAAGTACTCAGCGGCTAACCAAAACATTGGCAGTTCAAACCCACCAAACATTCCATAGGAGAAAGATGTTGCAATTTGCTTCTGTAAAGATTTACAGCCTTAGAAATCCTATGGGGCCAGTTCTACTCTGCCCTACAGGGGCATAATGGGTTGGAATAGATTTGATAGCACACAATAAAATAATTCCCATCCCACTTCCCTGGATGTACCAAGTTGATACTTGAGAGGATTAGTTACCTAGATACTTCTTCCAAAGAAGAAGCAAGAGAAAAATTCCAGTCAGCTCCTGAATTATCCAGATTTGAGGGTACACATTCACACAACTTTGCTTGTTGAAAGTGAAGAGTCCTTATATATTTAAAAAACTTAAAATATTTACTGATGAAGATAAAAAAAACAAACAAAAAAAACCAGCCTTCAGTATGGATTGTACCTCAGTGTAAAAAAAACCTCACAACTGGATCAATAATTAACATTATGATAAATGGAGGAAAGACTAAAGTTGACAAAGACTCATTTAGCTTGAATTTACAATTGATATTCATGGAACAGCAGCCAAGAAATCAAACAATGTACTCAAGAGTTCTGGTGATAGATTGGCCAAGTGGCAGCATCGATGGACTCAAGCATGGCAACAGTAGTGAGGTTGGCCCAGGATCGGGAGGTGTTTCGTTCTGCTGTGCATAGGGTCGCTATGAGTCGGTACCGACTCGATGGCACCTAACAACAACAACAACAATTGGCACTCATGGAACAGAAACCAAGAAATGAAACAATGTACTAAAGAGTTCTGGTGTGGTGCTGTAGTATAAGCACTGAACTACAAGGTTAGTTTGAACCACAAGGTTGGTGGTTCAAACCCACCAGCTAGCTGCTCCTCAGAAACCCTATACAGGGTTGCTATGAGTCAGAACTGACTCAATGGCACTTAACAACAACTACTACATTAGGCAAATCTGCTGCACAAGACCTCCTTAAAGTGTTAAAGAATAAAGATACTAGTTTGAGGACTAAGGTATGCCTGACCCAAACCATGTATTTTCAAAAGCCTCATCTGCATGTGAAGGTTGGACAGTGAATAAGGAAAACTATAGAAGAATTGATTCATTTGAGTTATGGTGTTGGAGAAGAATATTGAAAGTACCATGGACGTCAGAAGAACAAACAAATCTGTGCTGGAAGAAGTATAGGCAGAATGCGCCTTAGAACCCAGGATGAAGCGATTCTGTCTCTCCTATTTCAGATATGTTATCAGGAGAGACCAGTCCCTGGAAAAGCAAATCATGCTTGGTAAAGTGGAGGGTCACTGAAAACGAGAAAGCCCCCATGGCATTCAGCTCAAGCATAACAACAATTGTGAGGCCAGTGCAGGACTAGGTAGGCTTTTGCTCTATTGTGCACAGGGTGGTTATGAGTCGGAAACAACTCAGTAGCACCTAACAACAAACAACAACATTCAAACCCAAGCTGCAGTCTTCCTGCTACAAGTACATTTCTTCTACTATAACCAAGCAATGCATATGCAGAATACAACCTATATTAACAGCAAATTATCTTAGGAGGCTCAGTTTGCAGTGTCTCTCCCCCATTCAGAGCTCTCCAACACAGAAACAAACAAACAAACAAAATAAGCAAATTGGTATCTGTTTACTTTAGAGGTGAATCTGAAGGAAAATCAGACTTTCTACCAGATCCAACCTGCTGAGGAAAAGATTCAGGAGGAACGATGACGCCTGCTCTGCCTTCCCCCTCGCACCCAGAGGCATGTCTTACCCTCCCTTCAAACTTGGCGGTGGCTCCTTCTCCAATGCAGAGATTCCGTGGGGGCAAAATGAAAGCAGGAGCCTCCGTCAGGGGCATGGGGCCGACTCTCGAATGATCCACGCTGAGGGAGGTTTTGGAAACGTGTGTTGAAGCAACAAGCTTCACATCTCCCATGGTCTGCAAAACAGGAAGGGAGAGGACTAGGTCAGATCTGTCAAAGCACAACACTGTCTTCCCTTCCATGCACCTGGAGGGCCCGCACACTGGCTGGATCCCCCATGTTGCAGGTCTTGGCATGGAGTGTGTGCACACTAGGTCACTGACCACCTAAAGCTTCACTCTCTCCCATACATGGGCTACCGATGGGAGGTGCGTTTACAATTCAGACAGCAGATCCCAGGTCTGACCATTGCCTCCTTGAAACCCCATGGAGGACTTTCCACCTTTCCAATGCTCCCTTCTTGTAGAACATGAGCATCTGGAGACAGGAGCATGGAAATGGGATTGTTTTCAGAGGTTTTACCACATAGGTATCTACGATCGCAATGCAATCTTGGTTGGCCCATCAGAAACAATATCCTGCATTCAACATTCATGCTTTTCTCTAAACTGAGAGCTCACAGGTTAAAAACAAGATCTATAACTCCAAGAAAGATAAGTAATTTAGGTTTACTATGGCAAGGATCTTGGGTGAGGGGAAATGAGAGTATGTATGGTTTAATGAAGGAATCCTGCTGTAGCGCTGTGGGTTAGTGCACTGGACAGCAAAGTCAGTGTGAACTGCAAGGCTGGCAGGTCAAGCTCACTAGCTGCTCTTCAGAAACCCTGTATAAGATCGCTGTCAGTCAGAACTGACTCAATGACATTTAACAACACCAGCAATGCTTTAATGAAGTGAAGGAAGCAGGGTTAGAAAGGACATTCCACCTCGGAGGACTAGATTGTGAAAAAGGCTCTAAAATCACAGAATGTCAGAGATGGGAGACATTCGAAGATGATCTGAGCTAACTCCTGCTCTTAGGACTGCTGAGGCCGAGAGTGGATAGGTTACCAAGGTGGTAAAGCAAAAATAATAGCAGGACGGGCTTACATGCCTTGGGCTCCTTACTTCTGGTTCAGGGTCTCGTTCCACCACCACCCACTGCCAAGAGGTCGATTTTAACTCAGTGACTCTCTATACAGAAGCAGGCAGATAAAAATGACGATGGAGGCTGGTAAGGAGACTGATAGGAAACATGGAGTATGATTGCCCTTGCTCAGTAATGCTCTTTCGTAATTGTTAGTTTTCCTCTATTTTGAATATGCTTCGTTGTAAAACCTAGAAAATGCCAACACATAAACACAATAAATTACAATTTATTGAAGACATTCTCTGTGGCAGAACGGTATTGAGTACTGGATACATAATCCCATTTGTTTGAATCCTCAGAATAACCTTTTGAGTAAGCATAGTCTTTGCTTTTGCAAAGATGAGAGGTGGAAACACTTGGCCATCACAGCTAGTGAGCAGTAGAAGGAGTTGAACCCAGATTTACCCGATTCCACAGCTCGCAATCTTTGGGCCATGCTACACAGCCTAAATGAAAAAGGGAAAATCGTGATAGCTCTGTTACACAGAATGGTGGTGCGTCTCCTTCCAGTTGTCCCCTATGAGTACAGAAAGGTACAGCATTTTACATGGTTGAGAGCATAGTATAAATACAGCTATCTCCTATTTTTCCCTATAATTTTTCTTAAAATAAAGCAGTGCCAGGTAAATTATTTAACTTAACCCAAAGTAATTTGGTCTTTTGCCTTTGCTTCCTGAGGGACAACTTCTGTTTTTGTTAAGTGGCAAGTCAGTTCTGACTCACAGCAACCCTGTAAAGGATTCCCGAGGAGCAGCTGTTGGGTTTGAACCACTGGCCTTGTGGTTAGCAGTCCAGTGCTTATCCAACAGTGTCAAGCCAGGACTCTAAGGGATAACTTTAAAGCCTTGTCAATTCCTGAGTCATTAAAGTGCCTTTGTTATCTAGACCTCTGGGCCACTCTTGGGGCCTGATCTAATACCACCACCTGGCCTGATATCAGCGAACCTCAGCGGAGGAAAGGGGACAGATTCACTCAATCATGACTACATAATGAAGCCAATGAAAGCTCTGGACTTGGAAGCTCCATGGGCTTTTGGGTTGGTGAGAGACAATGTATGTAAGAGGCTAGTGTGCCATTTGGGGCATGAATACTCATACAGGGAACCCTCCCAGACCTCACCCTAAACATCTCTTTTACTATCATAAAGCTGTAATCATAAACATAGAACTTTCTGCCATGTCAGTCAACTGTAGAACCCAAAGGTATGGTGGGAGTCAGTAGGTCAGAAGTGAGGGACTCCTGAGATTGTGGCTTGCATCCTGATAGGGTAGAGGGAAACCCCGAATTTGTAGCCAGCAGTTCAGCATTGTTGTGAAGACTACCAAGGCTGCAGCTGATGCCTGCCTATTTGACAGTCTGAAGGTGACAGAATAATGGGATTTTGAGATCTCCTACACAGCACGGGTGGGGAGTTGCTTTTAAGAAAACCTGATTTTAAAAGATTCCACTTTATGGATGCATTACACCTTTTGTAGGAATTCTGGTGTGACACTGTAGGCTAAGCACTGGACTGCTAACTGTAAGGTTGGCTGTTCAGACCCACCAGCAGCAACTCAGAAACCCTTGAGAAGGTCTCTATAAGTCAGAACCAACTCGATGACACATGACAATAACAATACCTTATATAATTATCTCCTTACTGCTGACCATTTGGATTACTTCTCAATGTTTTATAATATGCATGTTGTTTTTGCTAAGTGCCTATGTAGGGTTTCTGAGGAGCGCAGGTGAGTTTCAACCATCAGTCTTAGGTTTCAAACTGACCTTGCAGTCCAGTGCTTATTCTACAGCATCACACCAGGACTGCATGTGCATAGATAAACCCATGTCTGAATATTTTCTTAGGATTGGATCAAGAAGTAAAATAATTACAGGTACCAAACTGAGTTTTGAGTTGCAAACAATGGAAACTGACTCTGGTTCTCAAAAATGGGAAAGGAATCTGCTGGAAGTATTTTGGGGCTTCCCATCGTGGTTACGAATCGGGCTGCAAACCTTAAGGTCAGCAGTTTGAAAGTTCGAAACTACCAGCTGTTCCATGGGAGAAAGATGAGGCTTTCTGCTCCTGTAAAGATTTATAGTCTCAGAAACCCTGTACAGGGTCGCTATGAGTCGGTTCCAACTCCACGACACATAACCACCACCACCACCAAAATCTACAAGAAAGGAGAAGCAGGCTGGGAAAGCAGGCAGAAGTGGAGGGGTGCTGAAAATTAAACTCCATTCAAAGGCACAACACAGATGACAGTCCCAGCTCAGCTGTCTCTGGAATGAGATCTTCCATCGTGTACAGTGGCACAGGCCCAACATAACCTGTGTCGACAGTCCCAGCTCAGCTATCGCTGGATGCCACTGCCACCACCTGCAACGCATTCTAAATATACCTGCCCTAGGTTCCAAGTCTAGGTGGGAACCTTACGAGGTGGGGACTGCTCTAGGTTGGGGACCACATCTTACCATGGAAGTCACAGTGCTTTACCCATCTCAACCATCAACAAACATGTGCTGAATTGAAGAGAAACTTATATGCCTAGTTTTTTTGTTTTTCTTTCACTTTCTTTTCATACCTGGTCACAATCTTAAATTCTCATGCTTGTAAGTTGGTTAAATTGAACACACAAGTGAACACTGGTGTCTGGGACATATGATTACTTTGTTTGAATTTAATAAGACTAACTGCTCCTTGGAAACCCTATACAGGGTCACTATGGGATGGAACCAACTCGATGGCACTTAACAACAACAACAATAAAAACAAACTATAAAAATATCTTATGAAATATGACTTAAAGTAATAAAGACCTGGGTCTGTTTGTTACCTGCCTGACAAGCTCAGTTTCTCTTTCACTGATAAGATGTTGACAAACCTGCTTTCTCTTTCACTGATAAATTACTGACTCTGCAAACGTATTCCTATGGATTGGGTCCAACTCAACAGCATTTAACAACAACAGCAATCACATTATTTCTAGTAGAAAAAGCTACAGATTAAAAAAAAAAAATCTAGTTAAATATCTAATAGTGAGAATGGATTAAATACAGTGACCCATCAGGCAGTTTTATCAGTGCATGTTTACAAGGGAAATAGTGACATGAATTCAATGATAAGGAAATTTTCATGATATAATCTTAATGGAAAGAATTTATTTTCCCACACTCAATTAAAATATTTTTGTTGAACATCTACCATGTGCCAAACTAGGTGCCAGGCAGGGAAACAGCAGTGAACAGTTATGTGGTAAGCGTGCTTACATGAGGGGAGGAAGGGCCAAGGAATGAGATTTTCCATCGTGTATAGTGGCATAGGCCCACACCCCACCGGGAACACTGTTCGTTCTGCCTTCCTCCACTGTCACTGAGGTGAGATGACTGATACACCAGGATCAGGGTCGGGTGTGTGTGTGTGTTTGTGTGTGTGTGGTGGGGGGACATGTATGTGTGGTGCGGGGACACTCAGGTATCATGAGGACCAGACACAACAATTCTGCTACAAATCCAAGGACGCTGACACTTTCCAGCAGTATGATCTTGAGTAACTTATTTCAACTCTCTTGACCTCATTTTCCGGTAATATGAGACTGTTAGTATCATCCTCAGAGGGTTGAGGGAAGGATTCAAACGAGATTAGAACACATAATACAGCACTTGGCCTATGAAAGGCCTTCAATATATGGTAGCTGTCAATATCATCGAGTCCCAAAGCGGTACCAATGGTAAACATGCTCAGCTGCTCACTAACAGGATGGATGTTTGAATCCGCCCAGAGGCACCTCCCAAGAAAGGTCTAGCAATCTGCTAATGAAAGTCAGTCATCCTAAGGAACACGGTTCTTCTGACACGCATGGGGCTACGTGGAACCAGAGTTGACTCGATGGCAACTAGCTTTTCTGTGTACAACATCATCATCCAGTCCAAAGGGATGCTTTTCCACCAAGTACAGGCCAACCCAATTATCCTCTGGGCAAGGATACTGACTGGATATCTGGTAGTAGCAGTAGAAGGCAGCTGGCAGAATTCTGTGAGAAGGTGGAGAAAAAGGGCCT